GACGATCGCATTGAGCGTGAAAACCAGGATTAAAAACTCACATCAATTCACATAAATATGTTAGTTCGCCTACTGATACTGGAGCGCTTTCCAATAAGTACCTTGCATATATATATATATATATATATATATATATATATATATATATATATATATATATATATATATGTATGTATATTGAATATATATATATATATATATATATTGAATATATATATATATATATATATATATATATATATATATATATATATATTCAATACATATATATATATATATATATATATATATACAGTTTTAGTTTTTTCTCTTTGTCAATGTCTTTCCATGTGTATTTCTTTTCTCTCTCGTGTTTTTCTCTCAGTTGTTTTCTTCGCACTTTCTTTCTCGACGCCTCGTTTTCATTCTTTTTGCGTATGTCTCTCTTCCGGTGTATTTGCATCTTTCTTTCTCTCTCTCTCTCTCTTTCTCTTTCTCAATGTCTCTCTCTCTCTATCATTGGATTTCTTTCCCTATTCTTTCGCTTTCTGTATCTATCTTTCCACGTCACTTTCAATTTTTCTCCCCTCTCCCTCTCTTTCTTTCGATGTCTATTTGTATCTCCCTCTCTTTATATCTTGTTCACTCGATGTTTTTTTTTTACATCTCCCCTTTCTATCTTCTGTCTGTAATTCTCTCCTTTATTTTCACTCTCTTTCTGGTTTTTTTTTATTCGCCTTACTCATGTTGTCCCCCTAAATGTCTTTTTGATCTCCCTTTCTACCTTTTTGTTTTTGTATTTCTCTTTCTCTGTCTCGGCCATATCTCTCTCAATGTCCCCGTCTCGAACATTCTCTCTCTCTCTCTCATTCATTCTCTCTCTTTACCTCTTTCTCGCTTAGACTTTCTTTTTCTTTCAACTTGATACCGCTCTTTGTCTATATCACTCCTTCTCTTTGTATTTCTTACCCTATATCGCTTTTGTTGTCTTTCTTTGAATATGTCACTTTTCATCAGATGTTAACCATTTGATTGTGTGTTAGTCCGCGTTCATATTACATCTTTTTCATTTCTTCGGATGCGAAGCTTCATTTGGTTAATGTGTTAAAATTACCATTACATTTAAGCTACGTTTCCCGGGTCTTGTACGTTTACTCGTAATTATAATCGTTGTCTCTTTATAAGTGCGTATGCGCATGCGCATCTACGTGTGTGGGGGTTAATTCTACATGTACGACAAACTAGCGGAAAATGTAATATCCGGATGGCACAATCAAGAAAACGCAGTCTCTTGCGTTTCTCCGACAACTATTATGTCGTCTTACAGCCTTAGCAAGCGGCTCATTTGGAATTGAAACCTTCTAATTATCTGACGCTGGTGATGGGGAAAAGAATTACAGTTAAAAGACCAACAAACAATGAAAAATCTTGCTCCCAGAAAGCATTCCCTTTTCTTCAATAGGTCCACACATTCAAGCGATAAAAACTTTATATTAAAAGTTTAATATCATGTCGTTCATGACATCAATATATTCAACCGTCACGCGTAAATACGTAGTTCAAGTATTTGATTCACTGGTAATCACAAGAAAATGCAAAACACTTAGAAATAAGCACATTCTATCTAATGGCAGCTAGAAAACATACGAAAATATACAAAACATCTACTTCGAGTAAGAATATTCTACTTAACATAGTTTTATCTATAAGAAACTAGCTGTGGGATTCAAAACAATTCCTCACAAATAAGGCCGCGCAAAGCTTATGAAAAAGGCTAGAAAGTGAGAAATGAACAATTTCAGACCAAATCTGACAGCATTGCTTCATTATTCGTTTGATCTGCATTTTGTAACAAGGTCAAGAGGAATCAAATACATTCTCCATCTGTTCAGGGCGCGGACATTTTTTTTCTAATGTTTTTTTTTTTAATGGATCTTATATGTATTAAGTTTTAGCGTGCACTTGAACCCCAGTAAACATTCCAGGTAAATAGCGTTATTGTGAATAATCCTGTACATAATTATAAGAGAACATTCCGTGTCGGCCAGGAGATGATTGAACATTGACTCCTTTGGTTTTGGATGTACTAAATACTACCGTAAACAGTGATCACTTTACAAAAAGGAATTTCTTCAGAGATAAAGTCAAATAGAAGATAAAATCACACGAGAAAATATATCTAAAGAAAACTAAAAGACTTACTCAACGCGTAATACGGCGGGCAATGGTTGCACGATTTTTAGCTTTCTTAATTATTTTCCAGTGGGTCTTCCACTTCTAATTAATATTGTTTTTGAAGAAATCATGATGAACGGTTTCATTCTCGATGAGCATCCATATTTTGAACGTCACTTGTGTCTCAGGTTCACAATAGACGTCAAGAAGAATTCATATATAAAATCCATTGTTTATGAAGTTTGAAAATGTGTCAGTCTTACGATATCACTGCCAAAAGAATCCGAATCCTTCTGTTAAAATTTATCTTCACATGAGATTAGTCGGATTTCTCCAATCATAGCATTTACGTGAGCTGGAGCTACCAAATTTTTATTTTCTAACCTTGATCCAATTCCCAATCTTTATTTTCTATTCTTGATATATTTTAAAATCGTTTTGTTTTCTTAGAATTCCCCCTTGGTCTTGTGGCGGAAATATTTTTCTCCACTCAACAGTCTATTCCTGATAGACGCAATTTCTATGGCAACCTTTCAGATGTTTCTCTTTAGTTAATTCCACTAGTTCAGTACCTTATTGCTACTACCACTGAGTCGAAACACTGTCATTTCCCCCATGTTCAAAATAATGTAGACAGTTACAATTATATCAACGAACTTGTGGAAGAGATTCTCAAATAGGCGAGCGACTTTGGAAACTGTTCAATTTTAAATATTGGTCTGAAGGATCAGTCTTTGGCTATCCTATTTTCCTCATATACTTCGCCTTTTTGCCACCATCTCTTCCAATCATATCACACCCGTCATTCATCATTGCGATTCCAACTGTGTTCTGTGTATGATGTTAAATTAAATATGGCAGCAAAGCCTCTAACCGGGAGATTTTGAAGAACGTGGAAGCATGGAGCGTTGATGGTAGCAATTTTAGTGTCCAAACAATGGACAAATATTGAACTCCTAAACTAAAATCGGAACACTATGAACGTATAACAATACATTTTATAATAAAAATACCAGCAATACTTTTTCATAGTAACAAAAGTTACCTGCATATTAAAAAAAAAACAACAAAAAAACAAAAAAAAAACAGAAAATTAACTTTAAAGATTACGTTTATGTAGTAATTATATACAAAAATACACAAGAAATAGTTCAACTGTTTTGGATTTCAAAAAGTAAAGGACAATGATATGAAATAAATATTAGGCTAATAAATTACATATTTTAACAATACAATATTCCTTCATAGATTCTATGCACGAAGGGACTTTTGCATTTAATGCACAAAGTTGATACCATTTTTCGGCTCTTTTCTAGTCAAAATTATTCATGAAGACATAGAACTATATTTACTATATTCTTCCATCTTTCTTTAAAGATAAATACTCAAAGCGATAACGTAAACCCATAGATCCCATAGTTGCCAATTAGTCATTTCCTCTCAATTCCTGAATAGATGATAACAGTATATTTGGAAAAAGTTGAAACCACGGATTTATTATATCTGATCTCCAATGAATTATCAGATGATAAAGCCAGGTGGTTAAGGGTTAAACCTAATTCGTAATGATAATAAAATAAATCATTTAAATTTTCAATATTCATGAGGGAGTGATTTATGGGGGGGTGATAACTGAAGAAACGACTCACCCTCTCTTCTGGTTGATCTATGATAGAAAATACAGGTTTCTCTGGAAAGGCGAAAAAATTTGAAAGTTCATATTAATAATTATAATGACATCTTTCTCTCGAAATTCGATCAAGGTTAGAAAAAAAAGACTGGGAATCCGAACAAGGCTAGAAAATAAAGACTGGGAGTTAGATCAAGGCTAGAAAATAAAGACCGTTAATTCGATCAAGGCTAGAAAATAAAGATAAAGACTGGGAATTCGATCAAGGCTAGAAAATAAAGACCGGTGATATCGATCAATGCTAGAAAATAAAGACTGGGAATTCGACCAAAGCTACAAAATAGACTGGGAATTCGATCAAGGCGAGAAAATAACGACCTGGAATTCGATCAAGGCGAGAAAATAAAGACTGAGCAGATCCAGCTTACGTAGACGCCATGTTTGGACTAATCAAAATCATCTCGTGTGAAGATAAAGCCTGGAAAATGGGTTGTGATACTTCCGGATGACCACATTTTCAGTTATCTTAAACAATGGATTTTATATATGAATTCTTCTTGAGGTCTGCTGTGGACTTGAAACCCAATAGACGTTCAAAATATGAATGTTCATCGAGAATGACAGCGATCATGATCTCTTCAAAAAAAATAAATAAATAGAAGGGAAAGGCTCACATTTAGGAATCTCTTTCACAAAGACGCTGTTCCTTCGTAAAATATGTATAACTGTCACTGTCTACTTTATTTTGAACATGGGGGAAATGACAGTGTTTCGACTCCGTGGAAGTAGTATGTTGAGTCCTAGCAAAAAATTCTGAACTAGTTGAATTAAACAAAGGGAATCATCAGTACGGTTGCCATAGAAATTGCGTCTCTGAGGAATAGAGTGTTGAGTGGAGAATAATATTTCCGTCACAACACCAAGTTGGAATTCTAAAACAAAAAAATGGATATCTATCAAGGCTAGAAATGAAATATTTGGCAGCTCCAGCTCACGTTGACGCCATGTTTTGACTAATCCCACTAATCTCGTGTGAACATAAAACTTGGCAGAAAGATTGTGATACTTCTGGGGGTAATATCGTAAGACGACCACATTTTCAGTCTTCTTAAACAATGAATCTTATATGAATTTTTCTTGAGGTCTACTGTGGACCTGAGTCAAAATAGACGTTGTTATATAGGGGTGCTCATAGAGGTTGAAATCGTTCATCGAGATTGTAGAAAACTCAAGCTCTGAATATTGTATTGATGATAAAAGTTTACTAGCTTTGGTTCTTGAGATATTAAAACATACAAGCTAATTACTCCTGCATTTAGATATCAGAACTATGTTAAAAGATAATCTAAAAACAAAAAGGATCAACTTTGTTTTGAGATAATATCCCTTGTCTACTCTTATGGTCAGAATACTTAATTGTTTGAAATAAAATACACATACATAAATGCTTCATGGCAGCGCGAAATAGACTTGTTGACGTTCTAATTTATTTTCTAACCTTGATGGAATTTCGACAGAAAGACATCACTCTAATTATTAATATGAACTTTAAAATATTTTCATCTCTCTTGAGTTACGTATATATTCTAACATATACCAAACAAAAGAGGGGATAATTTTGAATCACTTTAATGTAGCGCTCTCCCTAAATACCAGTTCTATGTCGTAATTAAAATGTACATTTGAATTGATGTCTAGTTTATATAAACGGGGTCGGATGGAATCGACTCTACTACGGATGGAATTCAACCCGACCAGGGTGAAAACCGATACAAGTGAAAAAAGACCCTAATACAGTATTCCGCTGGGTGTACCTATGCGATATAATTTCGACAGTGAACGGTCACTCTTCTAGATCCTTCTGCCCTAATGCCGGTGTCCCTCATGGTTCTACCTTGTTTTCAGTATTCATCAACGACCTTCCCGATAGCATCTGTTCTCAACAAGGTATTTACGACGGTGAAATAACCATATGCCGCTAGATTGATACTAAGTTTTGTCAGTTCAACAAGTTCAAATCGGGTGCTCATTTAAAAAAAATGACGGACATTCTGTTGTTAACTAGGGCAAAGAATGGCTTGCTAATTTTTACGTCTCTCAAAAAAACTGCTCTCTAATAA